ATTAAGCCTAGAGAAGCCAAATAACAATGTGAATCCAAAGAAAAACATATATAAATCCTCCTGGAAATTGGAAGCAAACAAGATTGCCAGGCAAGGGGCTGGAGAGATGGCTCAGTGGTTAAGAGCACTGCCTGCTCTTCCAAAGGTCCTGAGTTCAATTCCCAGGAACCACATGGTGGCTCACAACCATCTGTAGTGAGATCTGGTGCCCTCTTCTGGACTGTAGGAATAGATGCAGACAGAATACTGAGAATACTGTATACATAATAAATAAATTTTAAAAAAAAGATTGCCAGGCAAAAGTTGGGAGCATGGGGGTGGGGGTAGGGCTGGGTGTGGGGTTGGGGGAAGAGGAGAGGGAGAGAGAGAAGAGAGAAAGGAAAGACTGGAGAGAGCTTGGGGGAGTGGGAGTGTGGAGATGGAAGAATGGCAGATATAGGAGCAGGGAAGAAGATATCTACATTAAGGGAGCCATTTTAGGGTTGGCAAGAGACTTGGCTCTAGAGGGGATCCCAGGTGTTCATGGGGATGTCCCCAGCTAGGTCCTTGGGCAGCAGAGGAGAGGGTGCCTGAACTGTCCTTGGCCCACTATCACACTGATGATTATCTCAGATATCACCATAGAATTTTCGTCCGGCGACAGATGGAGATAGAGACAGAGACCCTCATCAGAGCAACGGACTGAGCTCCCAAGTCCAGTTGAAGAGCAGAAGGACAGAGAAGATGAGCAAGGAAGTCAGGACTGCGAGCAGTTGGTCCACCTACTGAGACAGTGTGCCTGTTCTAATGGGAGCTCATCAAATCCAGCTGGACCGGGACTGAATGAAAATGTGATCAAACCAGACTCTCTGAATGTGGCTGACAATGGAAGTTGACTGAGAAGCCATTGATAAAGGCACTGGGGCTTGTTTCTACTGCATGTACTGGCTTTTAGGGACCCTAGTCTATTTGGATGCAAAGCTTCCTAGGCCTGGATGGAGGGGGGAGGGCCTTGGACTTCCCACAGGGCAGGGTTCCCTGCCCTCTCTTGAGGAGAGAGCAGCAGGGAGGAGGGGGAGTGGGGAAGCAGGAGTGGAATGGGAAGAGGGGAGGAAGTGCAAATTTTTGAATGGAAAAAAATAATTTTTTTTTAAAAAAGGGGAAATGGTACAGGACAATTCTGTACTCTATTAATTTTTTTTTTTATAGATGCTGATTGGCTTGTAGCCAGGCAGGAAGTATAGGTGGGACAACCACACAGGAATAGAGGCGGTAAAATGAGAACAGGAGAATTCTGGGAAGAGGGAAGCTCTTTCTGCAGTTCTCTCCAGACACCAAAGAAGCAGGATGCCCCGCTGAAAAAGGTACTGAGCTGTGTGGCTAACATAGATAAGAATAATGGGTTAATATAAGTTATAAGAGTTAATAAGGAAGCTTGAGATGATGGGCCAATCAGTTTATCATTAATATAGACCTCTGTGTAATTTCTTTTGGCCTACCAGCTGTGGGAACTGGGCAGGACAGAAACCCCAATGAGCAGCCCCTCATGTTACAACAGCATCCAGAGGGGAGTCTCACATCACATGTGGACTGACTGAGCAGTTTCCCCTAAGAGTCCCACATCAGTGTTCCAATCAGGATCTGTTAGACTTAGCATGGAGGACTGTACAGTAAAGTAGAGGGTCTCATGTCACACAAAGTCTGGGTAAGGACAGAGAGCAGAAGGAATAGAGATGAGGAGAAAAGCCAGTTTCATGGCTCTGAGAGCTTCCAAAGGCTTTCATTTATCCATTCTCTAAAGCACCAGTCATGCCCTAAGAGTAGGAAGCCTTTACACAAAGCTCAAGGAAGGACAGAAGCCAATGATAAAGCAGAAAATGGTGGGTACATTACAGCTCTACCCTAAGGCTAAGCCGTGGCTGTCAGCAGAGAGTGAATTGTGACCTGGAGCTGGGCCACCCTTCCTTCAAGTGGGTGACTGCCTTGGTTCTAGCTCTGTTCCCGCTTCTGCCCTGCCCCTGTGTGCTGGTTTGCTTTTGTCCATGTGACACAGTGAAGAGTCACCTGGAGACAGGGAATCTCACTTGAGGGATGGCCTCCCTCAGATTGCCTGTGAGCTTGTCTGTGGGTCTTTTTCTTGCCTTGGAATGCATGAGACGGGCCAGCTCACTGTGACTATGCCAGGCAGCTCTTCGTTAGCCATTGATAGTAATACACATTCACAGCGACTGTTCCACACCAGGGTACTCTAGTGGGTGTTACTCTGTGTGTGACTTGACCAGATAGAGGTTAGAGGTGGTGAATCTTTTCTACCGAAGTGACCTCTTTAAAGGAAAGAGGGGGGCAGCTAAACTCTCTCTTTTTTTCCTGCTTCCTTTCTCCCTCTCTCCCTCCCTCAGTGGTGGTTGGAGCTCAGACTGCTGATTCCATTCATGCCCCATGCCAGACATAATCTAAGATCTTGGCAGCTATTTACCTAGTTGTGTATCTGTGAGTGTATTCTAATAAATTCTTGATATCCCTTTCAAGGGGCTCTTGTATGGTGTGGGACAATGCTCTGTATTCTTACAACTATGTTTTAAATAAATGCTAATTGGCCAGTAGCTAAGCAGGAAGTATAGGCGGGACAAACAGACAGGAAGTAGAGGTGGGGCAATGAGAACAAGAGAATGCTGGGAAGAGAAAAGCCCATTCCTCCACAGTCCTGGCCCAGACACAGAAGAAGCAAGATGTGACTGCCTCACTGAAAAAGGTACTGAGCCATGTGGCTAACACAGATAAGAATTGTGGACTAATATAAGTTATAAGAGTTAATAAGAAGCCTGAGCTAATGGGCCAATCAGTTTATAACTAATGTAGAACTTTGTGTGATTTGCTTGGGACTTAACAGCTGTGGGGACCGGGCGGGAAAGAAACCTCAGTCAGCACTTGTGGATTGTCCTACATTTAGTTTCCAACTGAACCCCATGGCCTGCTGCTAACCTGCATGGCATCAGCTTCCCACGCCTTGCCAAGACACCCTGCTAGAATCCCGAGAGGCAGGATTCCCTTGAAATTCAGCTGCCCCCTCCTGTGTTCCGCTGCCTGTGAGGGGGACCCAGAGCCTTAGCCTGTAGGCACCCATGAGCTGCTTAGTTCCTGCTCCCATCTTGGCCATTCCGCGGCTCCTGGCACGCCTGGCCAGTATGGACAGCCGCTCCTCAGCCAAGCACGCGTGCTTTGCATTCTGGCACGACTCCAACCATTCTGCTCTGCTCTATTTAAGCAAAGGAGCCCACAAAGGCCAGCAGCTAGCTGCAAGCAGCTGAATGCCCTTCAGTAGCTGGAGCTCCTAAATTGGAATGCTGCCTGCTGCAGATTGGACTGCAGCTTTGCGTTCCTTTCCACGTGCTCACAGCCCATGGCTGCCCCCACAGCTCTGAGCAGAGTGGCTGCTACGTTCTGCCTGCCTACCACCGACTGGCGGCCCCTCGGCACCTCCTGCACTTGCAGGCTGCTCCTTTTCTTTTCCCTCTAACCAAAATCTGTTCCGTGTAGTTGCTTCCAGTCCTGCTTAGCATTTACAGGTGGCTCGATTTCGGAACCCAAAGCCAGAGCAGAGGTACAGCAGCCCAGGACCTGCTTTGGCGTTACACCTCCGGCACCTGCTGGCCAAACCCTGTCATTACATTAAAAAATCACCCTTCAAACCAGCTATCCATACCTGCCTGCTTAATAAGAGCATAGGACATCTAGGACCATCTCCCAAGGATTTATCTGAAGTAAATGATTGGATGTCTTTACACTTTACATATATATTAAAGTGTAAAGACAAATATATATATATATATAATAGTTAGATAGATAGAAAGATAGATGGATAATTTGCTATTTACATGTTGTAAAATTCTGTGCCAATAGTGGATAATATTATTATTCAGAAATTTAAAAAAACTTTTATTTTCTACTATGGATGGCGTTTTAGAAGAGATCCCTGATTAGCTTCCTTACAATCTATAGTCTGTAAGCTGAGAAATGCTATTGTTTTTTTCTAAAATGTGATTTGTGTGTGAAGGTGTTTGTGAATATACACATTTATGTTCACACGTATGTAGAGGGAGCTGTAAATCAAGCAGACTTCATAGTCCCACTTGACTTCCACTCACAGCGATCCTCCTGGCTCAGCTTTGCAGAATGCTAACATTGCAGGAGTGACCCACCATGCTCTGGTCTTGCTCTTCCTACAGGGAGAACCTGGTCTTGTCTGAATGAACCACACAGGAGCATTTGGAGTCTCTGAGCTCCTTCACATCCTGGTCGTCCTGTCTCTTCACTGCTCTGATTCTGGAACCAACACTCATTGTGAGTCTGATGAGGAATTGCTTGAAGTATTACATGCTAGACTATTATCATGAGTAATAGTATTTAAATGTATTGGTTGAATATAATATGATATGATATAATATAATATAATCGATGCATGGTGGCATGCACTCTCCAATACTGGTTAAATGTGAGCAAAACCAAGCAACTGCTGCTCCCTGGAGGTTCTAGCCCGAGACAGCTGCCTTCAGACCTCCTACAGAGCCCAGACAGCCTCTTCCCCTTCGCTGTTATAATAAACAAGCCGAGGCTGCCGCTTACAGTGGAGCAGCTGAGGCTCCATCAGAGCACACACGAGCCACTGATGCCAGCTTTTCTGTCCATGTGTCTGTGTGTCTGTCCTTTCTTCATTCCCTCACTGCCCCTCAAAGGTCCTGTGGGTGTCAGACCTAAGAGATGTGCTAAAGCAAGGCTAGAGATTGAGAAGGTCATGATGTACCTGGGGGACATAGTGAGATCCTGTCTCAAAATAGAAAGTTAACTAGAGATGTAAATAAGGAGTTTAGCCATAGGGACAGGTGGTAGACTAGAGGACCAAAACTGTGTTCCCAGCTCTACAGTTAGGTAATTCACAAGAGCCTGTAAGTGCAGGCCCAGGGAAATCAATCATTTGGACTCTATGGGTATTCCTACTCACATGCAATAGAGACACACATGCAGACAGGCAAGAAACTTTTTAAAATTAAACTGAGTAAAATGGATAATAATGATACAAGAACGATCACTTTGTGTTTTTACCAAAATTGGAATCATTGCATAGACATAGCAGTTTCTCCTGTGGCTCGATGTTCTCCATGGTCACACCGAAAGAAGACAAGTCAGGCACCTGTGGATGTCCCTCCCAATGACAAGTTTGTCCCGAGCCCAGCATCTGCCTTCTCCTGAGGATCCTCTCCCTCACACCGCACTCTTATACCCCCCAACTATAGAATCAGAAGCAGGCTTCACAGAGCTTTGTCAGGCTTCAGAGAGGCCCTGTAGAAGATGGCATCGGCAAGAAAGGTTGGCAGGTAGCTCACAGGGATGAAGAAGAGCTTGGCATCCCAACCAGCTGAATATCGGGTCCGGGGGTGACGGGAAGTCAGCGCATGCTCCATGCAGTCCGTCACCAAGGAGAGGTCCTTGTTGCACTTTTGGTCCAGTGACTTTAGCCCTGTCATATCTGTGCAGAAGGAGAAAGTATTTAGGGGGTGATTACCTCTACCACACATAATCTAGACCAACATGGAGGAAAGCCTCACTAGAGCCCAAGCCTCCCATGTCAGAAGCCATGCCCAAGCCTAGCCTGTCCCACATCATCAGGAGGACACAGCCCGGCTTCAAGGAGCAACCATGCACATGCTCCACCTGGGTCTCAGCTCATGGAAAGTGCTGTCTAACCCTGCTCCTGTTGGTGACTTCACTCTCGGCTGAAGAGGATGAGGGGTTCAGATGGAACAGAGTCCCAAGCTCTAGGTCAAGGAACTCACATCCCGAAAATGTGCCCACCCATGCCATGGGTCTAAATGCTCTTCCTTTGAAGAGAAAGATCATGTGGTTACTTCGGGTAAAATGAACATGAGCCTAGGGATTCAGACTAGTTTGACTTAGGCTCTCAAAAATCGCGTACGAGATGCCAGAAACTTCTCTCCATACACCTCTTTGACTTCTGAGCTGGCCCGGTCCCACAGCATCTTAGCATAACATAAATGCATGTCAGTATTGGAAGCACCAGTCGAGAAGAAGCCAGGCTCTACAACAGCCACCTTCACTCCAAAATAGGACAGCTCCCTCCTGCAAGACAGACAGACATTAAGGACTTCAGAGGACTTTCTGTGAAGTCACTCAGAATCAGAGTACAGTCACATGACAACGTGAGCCTGTGGTGAGGAGAGGCCACAAGCTTCAGACAGGCATTGTGTAGCAAATGGGGATGAAACTCATGGTGAGGGCAATGCCTCTGCACTTTAAATGTCACCCTAAGTACTTGGAGCATGAAGCTCACCTGCCTAAAACCAGGCACTCTGTTCTATGACAGCATGTGCGAGCTCTCTCCGTGTAGGGTTGACGAAAAGATCACCATCCTTTTCCAGGTCACCTCCATCTCACCCCTAAGTCTCAGTCTGCCCTCATCGGTCCCAGGACGCTCCCAGGACATCTCCTCCTTGCTTCCCTCAGGGGTCTTCAGAGAGCAAGCCCTTGCCTGCCACTTCCTCCCATCCACAGCCTCCATGTTCCCTGCAGCCAGGGATGGACCTACCCAGAATGGCTCCCCTCTTGCCATACCTTTGATGTGCTGTACATAACTGTCCAGCAATCTATGGTTCTCCTCAGGTCTACCTCAGCCCACCTGGTGACCATCCTCCTCCATATCTCGCCTGTCCTTTCCCCAAGGAGAATCCACCTACAATCAGGTTCCAGGTTTCCATGTTCAACCTTCACTCTGCTGCTGCCCAGTCCTGCTAGGGGACCCTGACGACAAAGAGATGACAACCATGGCTGACACAGCTGACTGGGCCATGGCCACTCCTAGGGAAGGACCTACATTGTTTGTGTCTCCTCTCTCAGTTGCTGTAGTCTTTAGTTCAGGCTCAAAACATTTCTGCTTGCTACATTTGTTGATTATGGACTCCACAGGGGCCTCCCTCACACCTGTCTGTCGATATGAATGAGATGTTCAGCCCAACTCAAATATGTGTTTTGCATCATAGAGCTCAAAGGTTGGTATTTTTGACCCCAAACACTTACAGGTCAAATTCTAGGTCACTAATGACTCCTGGTGCCCTGCTTCCTCCATGACAGGAAAGATGAATCAGCTCTCAGTCCTGCCCTCTACTAGAGACATGGAAATGTGCTTCTCAATGTCTGATTCAGCGAAGATGAGCTGAAAGGACCCCCAAATTCCAGGGTGTCTCCCTCCACGATGGCATACTAAAGGCCTTGATTAAATAGATCCCCAATAAGCTTCCCTCAAGGACCATCAAACCTGGCAAATACCTGAGGGAGTCTGAGAAGGCCTCCACACCATACTTGGAGATGCTGTAACCACCACCAAAGAAAGATACTCGACCCATGATGCTGGAGACGTTGACCACACGTCCCCTGGCCTTCCTCACTAAGGGCAGCATGCTCAGAGTCACCTCGATCACGCCCAACAGGTTCACATCCAGTATCTTTGCAAAATCCTCTTTGTTCAGCCACTCATTGGGCCCCGAGGGGATGGAGATGCCAGCATTGTTGACTAGGCCCCACAGTCCTAAGTACAGTGGGAAGAGAGAGAGTTACAAGCACAGGTACAGTTATGGATGAAATGCACACTCCACAAGATAAGACAGCTTAGACATGTGTTTACTGGAGACTAGGACACAGTGAAGAGCAGCATGGTGTCATCAGGGCTGGGGAACCGTCCCTGATTCTGTAAGCTCACAGCATGGATACCATCCTCTAAGTCTCCATGACCCAGGTCTCTGCCTGGGAAGCAAGAAGCAGTCATTCTCACTTGCTGATTTTAAGATTGGGTGTTGAGGATGCGGTGCGCCCATGCTGATCTAGAGAACAGGCAATTGTGATTATGTTTTCCAGATTATCCCCATCCTTGTAGATATTTTATTCTTTCATTTGTGGTAATGGATGGAATTGGAATTGTCCCTTCTTATAGATTTGGTGGCTTGGTCATTGGGGAAAGCAATTTTGAGAAGGATTGGGAAATGTGTCTTTGCTGGAGGAAGTGTGTCACTGGGGTTGGGATAAGTGGTTTGAAAAGAACAAGCCAGGCCCAGGGTCTCAATCTTCCTGCTGTCCGGATGGATGCATGTAGAACTGATGTGGATGTAGAACCCTCAGCTCATTCTCCTGCACCGTGCCTGCCTGTGTGACACCAGGCTTCCCAGCATTCTGATAATGAACTAAGCCCCTGAAACTGTAAGCCAGCCCCCATTAAATGCCTTCCTTCATAAGGATTTCCATGGTCATGGGCTTCCTCCACAACATAGAAAACTAACTAATACGCACTGTGGCCTTATCTTTCATAGGGCAAGTAGAAGCAGTAATGAGGTAGTATTGGGGAGAGTGGAAACCGAGGAGAATACCAGGAGAAAAGAAAGAGAGGACAAATTAATGCCTGGATGAAATTAGAACAAAAACCTAAAGACCTGATTGGAGGATGTTTTGAAAAACAGTGTTATGTTCAAGGCTCTGATGAAGCTGGGCCTTGCAGGGTCCAGCATCAATACTGAGCAGCTCTCCTCAGATGCTTGCAAAACCCAGGGACGGGATAAGGGAAGTGACAAGGCTTGCTGATCACCAACAGCACTGAGCCTCCCCTCTCAACCACAGAAAATGGTGCCCTTCCTTGCACCTCAGCGCCTCTGGTCTTTGGATCCTGGATGCCCAAGTAGCCAATCAGTAAATCTTACAACTAATACCACATCTAATCTATCACTATCTGTGCAGGGTGCGTTGGAGATGGCTTGACTGAGAACAAGCACGGCATTTGCTGATTAAAAAGAATTGCTCAATGTGTCATATTCCACTTTGGCATCCAGATTTTATCTTCTTTTGTTTTGAGGAGCCATATGGAAATCTACTCCTGTAGAAGCTTCCTAAAATACATGAATATAGGCTATGAATTTAAATGGGTACACCATAGGATGGGGGGATGATACCTGACCTAGACATCTTATGCCACTAAATAAAACCTCCAGTGCCATGAACGGGTTCCATCCAGTTGAGTCATTGGTCAAAAGGTCTCCAGGAAGACCAATTCCTGACTCCCATTACAGGCTGTGTCTGTGTGTGTATGCATGAGAGAGAGAGAGAGAGAGAGAGAGAGAGAGAGAGAGAGAGAGAGAGCCCTTCCTAGATTTTCTTTCCTAAGTCATCCTCCAGTGTGAGTGTGCACTTAATCATGACAATGATTTTGGCTTCCCAGAAGGAATCCCAGGTGGAAGGGGAGACCAGGTTCCTGTACTGATAGAGGAGATGCAACTGTCACAGGACCAGCCAGCTTCACACAGAGCCAGGGACCAGCCCTCCTCTCTCTCACTCTCTCTAATGTGGCACTCAGCAGCCAAGAATTCAGTCTTCCTCCATACAGTGGCAGAAAAGGACAGACAGGAGTGAGGACGTGAGATCACACAGGGTACCAGCTGACCAAGAGTAGAGAGCTTGAAGGACTGGGTGTAGGAATAAGAGGAAGGGCTGATGTGCTGGGGAGGGCCGGAGTCTACAGCCCCTTCAATTCTACCCCCACACACATTGGGAATCTATGTGGGCAAAGCAGACATTCCCTTCATGCCGCCAAAAAACCAGCAGACACAGACAGAGATCTCACTGATACCTCTGTTCCCAACACGCTCCTTCACCCACTGAGTGGCTGCCACAATACTCTCTGTCTTGGTGACGTCAAGGATCACTGTCTCCAGCCTGTCTGATGTCTTGTTCCTCAGTTCCTCGGCTCCCTTCTCCGTCAGACATGCAGCCAGCACCCTCATGCCTCTCCTGTCCAGCAGTCTTGCCAGCAGGTTCCCAAAGCCCGAGTCACAGCCCGTGATGAAGACATGCTTGTCTTGGAGATGGCTCACCACCTGCCTCTCTCTGATCAAGCGCAGGAGGGTCCACAGGCCCACTAGAGCCACCAGGTAGAGCCACATGGCTTTCAAAGGACAGGCCCAGACAGTCTGGGACTGAGTGAACCTGGTCTCTATTCCCAAAGGATGAAGTAGGCACAGAGAACTCAGAGACACAGAGAAATGCAGGCTTTAACCAGAAGTACAGACTTTGTTCTTTGTCCACTGTCTGTCTTCAATATTTATTCTTGCCTCACTTCTCTGCTCTTTCACCTGTTTCCTAATCTGACATATAATGACTTTTGGCATTCTCTTATTTGTTGCCAAAGAAAACACCACTGTCTACTCAGTAACACACCTTCGTTCTCTTACGATCTTTGCTTCTTTTTCATATGGTGTAGCGGCGTAAACGAATGCAGACAGATTGTAAAAATACATATAGTTTTAATGTAGAAATAGACTTACAGAACCACCGTTCCCACGGAGACCAGGAAAGCAGAAGAGACAGCTCGGAGCAGGCTCGCCCAATTTATAGGCAGACATTAGCCCGAGGCGAACACGCCCCCTAAGGGGCGGGACTTATCCCTACAATGTGGGAATACACGCATGTTTCCTAACATGAGTGGATTATATTCCGGTCCCTGTCTCACCTTGTGTTCTGCATCTTGCACTCCATCTCCACAAACACAGGATTTGGGATCATAATTATGTGCTGTGGCCCATCTTCACTTGGACTCGGGCCACGTTTACAACGAAATCTGGCCCCAAGCTCAGGGTCCTTCCTCCTCAGACTCCTCAGCCAGAATCTCTCTTCAGAAAACAAAGTTGCTCTCTGATACAAGCCACAACATTATACAGTAATTAATCATCCATCTTTTCATGAATGACTTATCAGAACTAGGGTCCTGGTGAAGGCTATTTGGAGCTATTGCTTTGTGAATAAAGTGGCTGTCTTTTGCTGTAGGTTTTCACGGTAGCTGACTCCCCTTCTGTTACATATCATGAATTAACTCTCACAGTTCTGAACTGTTTCCTATGCCTTTGGACTACATGTGAAAATGGTTTTCCGCTGTCAGGCCTTTGTTCCTCTCTCCTAGGTAAATGCATAGATCTGCCTTTCTATGATTCTCTTTATCAGCAGGCATTTGATCAGTGCTTAGGGTTCATATAAGAGCATTCCATTTAAGATATGCACAGATATACAAGGATATAGATTTAGTACTTGTTCCCTCTTTGCTCTTGTTTCTGAGGAGGAAGGATCCTGAGCTTGGAGCCAGATTTCCTTGTAAACATGACTGCCTTGGTTCCAGCTCTGTTCCTGCTTCTGCCCTGCCCCTGTGTGCTGGTTTGCTTTTGTCCATGTGACACAGTGAAGAGTCACCTGGAGACAGGGAATCTCACTTGAGGGATGGCCTCCCTCAGATTGCCTGTGAGCATGTCTGTGTGGCACTGTGGGATTGTCTTTGCATTTTCCTCTGCTCATGATACCACCCAGTTGCTGACTCCCTGTTGCTTACAAGATTAAGTACTCTCATTAACTTCTGAGGTACCATGTCTGCCTGCACACAACCATGCTTGCCATAGTGATAATAAGACTGCACCTCTGCAATTATAAGTGAGTCACTGATTTAAATGATTTCCTTTATTTGTGTTGCCAGAGTCATGGTGTCTCTTCACCCTAGGACTGAAGTTGGTGCACGGGTCTGGGTATTGCTGTGATAAGCCCATCCATATTTTTGCTTGGAGGAAATAGATTCTGGGGCTGTGGATTAGAAAAGCAGTTGAATGATATACAGAAGCAAGTCTTTTGATAGTTAAACAGCTAGCCTTTCAGAATGCTGATGCCATACATAAAACTGCTTGAAGGCCTTTTAGAAAGAAAAGTAACATTACTGATTATATTCGGGTTTTTTTCAGATATTGACCATTTGTATAATCAGGGACTGACCATAGCTGCTGCTTTACAGGGAAAGGCTGTCAATGATGTTCCCTTCCAACAAAGACATCAAGGCCCAGGAACAGTGAGATCTACTGGGTCTCCTAGAACTGCTTTGGGTGTGGTCTCATGGGGCATCACATCAGGCAATGTCCTGATAGGAGAGTAAGCCTGTGGCCAGGGAAGGAACCAGGACTGTGCAAGAGATGCAGGAGAGAGAAGCATTGAACTAGCAAGCACAGGCCAAAGAGAAATGACCAAGGGAACCTCCTTTTAGGAAATGGACATAAGGGCTAGCCTCAGGTCATAGACAACTTTTGGGGTAACCCAGAAACCGGTTCTCCCACAAGAAAACCCATTCAGGAACATCGAAGGGCAGGCCCAGGCAGCACAGGGCTCAATCTCAGCTCTTCCATATACACATTCTGGCTGCCCAAATGGGAATGCAAGCTCTCCCCACTGGGGTTTATTAGAGGGCACTATGGGGCTACTGTTGGGAAGAAGTAGCATCACTATGAAAGGGATCCTTGTTGCCCCTGGAGTCAGTGACACTGATTACGAAGTAGAAATCAAGGTTAGGACTCATTTTCTGTAGTAAAGAGAAGCCAGAGGCTTTCACAATTAATTTGACTTCCCATTGTGCAAACCAAAAATCAAAGAGAGATAAGAGAGGAGATGTCAGATTGGGTCCATTTGACATCTATTGTCTACAAGTCAAAGTTCCGCAGTAACCAAAACTCACTTTGTTTACAGATGAAAGAATGTTTCCTAGTCTTCTTCATACTGGTATGGATATTTCTGTTATACCTGTTAGTCAATAGCCTTCAAAATTGCCAAAAACTGGACTATTTCACAGTTACAAGGGATTGGTCAGACTCAAAATCCTGAACAAAGTAGGAATGAGCTTTACTGAAAGGATGGAAAAGGTCATGAAGGAACTTTCCAGTCATACATTGTTCCTCATTTCCCTGTAAATTTATGAGACCGACATATGCCCCAAGTGGGGTATATTTAAATTCCTCCAACAGTTATTGCTAATCAAATGTTTCAGCAAGGATTGTTACCAATCAGGGTCTAGACAAGGAAAATAAGGGAAGAATCAATACTATCATACCTAGCAAAAGGTCTTCCAAGGTAACATTAGAATATTTTTAGGAGAGGTCACTGAGAAACCTGCACCCCCGGCAGGTTACCAAATTGTCTGGAAAAGTAACAAGCCTGTATGTGTAAATCAGTGGCCTCGAATAGAAGAAAAATTACAAGCTTTCTAAGAGCTAGTGCCAGAATAGCTGGGTAAATGTCACATTATATCTCCACCCTGGAATTCTCCTATTTTTGTAATTAAAAAGAAGTCAGAAAAGCAGAGATTAATTCAGGATTTAAGAGAGGCTAATGACACCATGCAGCTGATGTGAGCATTATAACCTGGGTTGCCTTCTCCTATAACTATACCAAAGACACCCAAAAGATCATTTCAGAGTCAAAAGATTGTTTTCATGCCATCCCTTTGGTACCACAAGATTGTCAAAGATTTGCATTTAATATTAATAAATAACTTCAGATAATTTCAAAGAGCCAATAAAAATATATCAATGGAGTGTCTTACTTCAGGGTATGGCAAACAGTGTGTGCCAGAAATAGTTCTCTCAGGCTATACAAAATGTTAGAGATCTATTTCCACAGGTTTATATTGTCCATTATATGGGTAATATCTTACTTGCCCATAAAGATGAAGGAGTTTTACTTGAGATATATGAACTACTAAAACAGAGCATACAGTGTTAATCGTTGCTCCAGAGAAAATACAAGAGACCCACCTTTCCAGAATTTAGATGATATGTTAAATTCTAAAGAAAAAATTATGCCTCAAAACTAAAAATTAAAAAGGATAGTTTAAAGACTCTAAATGATTTTTAAACGTTGTTGGAAAACATCCAATAATTGAGACCTTATTTAAAATATCCTACGGGAGGCCTTGATCCACTAAGTAAAATTCTTAAAGGGAACAGTGATCCAAATTCCACTAGACAGCTTACAGAAGCAGCCAAAGAGGCATTCACACAGTTAGAGAATGCCATAAAGAGACAGCAAGTCCATTATATTAATTGTGATCAGCCTTGGCAAGCATTACATTATCTACAAAACTTACTCCTACAGCAGTATTATGGCAAAAAGGTCCACTTTTATGGCTGATCCCCAACATATAGCGCCACAACGAGGAGCTGACTGAGGAACCCCAAAAAACACAGAAGAGTACCAGGTGTACAGGGGGCCCATGAGGAACCCCAGAGGAAAAACTTGCCCCACAGGTGAAGAGGTGAGTAATGAGCACTCAGAAATAAGGAGATATTAAAAAAAAAAAGCAAGAAGTGAGGAAGAAAAATTAAGAGTAAAACTGTATATAGTTGAAGATATGAGACAAGGAAATAATATTCAGTCATTGGTACAGTTGCTTGGATGTGTTTTGATAGCTATAAGAGCTAAAGTGGATCAGAAACAAAGGCAGAGATATTTAGAGTTTGTAAATAGCACATTCCCACCCCTACACTGGCAGCATCCACGCTGCTGCCTTGGGGCGACTCTGGGACTTAGGGAAGCCAAGGGGAGGCCCTATCTTCCCATACAAGTGCAGTGCTGTGGTCACAGAGATGCAGCTTCTATCACTGCTGAACAGGTAGGAAGAGTGAAGAAAATGCAGTGTTTGACCCAAAATTTGCCTAGGTTAACACTGAGATTGTCACAGTCCACACACATGCCCTGTAGCCTGCTGAGTCTGACCCGCACTGTAGCCAACTGAGTCTGTGCTATATGGTGGAGCAAGGAAAGGCAGGCAGGAAACAAAGAAACTTAGAGGAATATTTTTACTCCCCACAGTCAGCACTCAGAACTGGTCAAACTAAACTGAATGCTGGGAGAAAGAAGGGTGGAGTCAGAGAGAAGCCTTGTGGCCATACACAGATCAACAGAAATACATACCTACAGAGGTGAATCCCACATCAGCTTCTAGCCTGAAATCGCTGCCTTCAGACCTCCTACAGAGATCACAAAGTCTTTTCCCTTAGCTATTTATAATTTACATACTTAGGGTACAGGTTGAATGCCACTGGATGCCAGTTTTTCTGTCCATGTGTCTGTATGTCTGTCCTTTCTTTCTTCCCTCACTGATCCTAGTCAGGGCTTCATAGCTAAGCCAGATTGCTGCAGCAAAGCAGAGTCAGAATATCTTTATGTACAGGTGTAGCATAGGAAGAACCTCTCTCAAAATAGATAAT